GCCAGCGCTGCCGCGGGAGCCCGAAGGGAGGATGCTTGGAAAACCACTACTCACAAGGACTCAAGGAGCCCAAACTTACCATCCCGAAGGGCCATGTTTTTGAAGTGAGACTTGCCCAAGATGGAGCTGCATTTACAAAATTCAAAAAAAGTTAAGGTCAAAACCTGCCTGCTTGGGGCTGGGGTTGTGGTGGCTCAGTGGCAGAGCACTTACCTGGAACATGTGAGGCACTGGGTTTGATTCTCAGCATCGCATAAAAATAAACCAACAAAATAAAGATTTGAAGAAGAAAAAAAAAAATTGCCTGCCTGACTTTACTCAAGAGCTGTGCTCACCGTCCATTCCAAAAATGGCAGACCATTGTTGAAGCTCATGTGGATGTCAAGACTATTAATGGGGTAGGGGATGCAGCTGAAGAAGAGTGCTTGCCTAGTATGTGTGACCTCATGATTCAGTCCCCAGCAATGTGAGGGGGGGGGGGGAAATGCTTATTTACTTCATTTGTTCTTTGTTGGTTTTACTAAAAAAAATGCAATAATCAGATTGTAGATTGATCATGTTTGGCACCAAATCTGCCAGATCCAGAAGATGAAAATCATGATTCCAAAGGCTCAGGCAGGAGGATCACAAGTTTGAGATGAGCCTTGGCAACTTAGTGAGCCCCTGTCTCAAAATACAAAATAAAAAGAGCTGAAGACTCCTGGGTTCAACACCTAGTACTAGGAGGGAAAAAGTGACCAATAAATCAATCCTAGAGAGCATTGGGAAAGATGCAGAAAAGGTATCATCTCCATGATGTCCACGTGGAAATGTAAACATGCTGAAGGAAGCCCAGGGTCGTGTTGGGAAGCAACTAGAGCTTCATGGTGAAGGTCTGACCCATCACAGGTAAGACAGGGTCTGCACTGGAACAGGCTGGTGACAGTGAACCCCCAGTCCAGGAATCCATGTGAAATACAGACTTTAAGTGGTGACAAAAAAAGATCACTCTAGGGTACTTGTATATGGTGTGCAAAGTATTAGTCTTACAACTTTTTTTTAGGTTTTAAAAGTTCTTTTGAGTCTCCAAGGCTGAGAAGATAATAGAACATCTCCTTCCCCAAAATAATTCTAAATAGAAACTAAACCCAGAATAAGAGGAAGGAAGTCCAACAGGGTTTTGAATTTTCCCCATGATTACTGTTTTGTTTCTTAGGTTGAACACACTTATATTTTTTGAGACAGGTGTAAGGAAAGTGGCACAGGACACCCTGAAAATCACCCAGACACATTGAAGCCAAGCAGAAGCAAGTTTATTGTTATTGTCCAAAAAACATATAAGGCTGTCTCTGCGCAGAGAGAAAGCAGCAGACCTCCGCAGAGCCTGGGTTGTACATTGGGGGTGGGCTTAGCCCTTGCTATTGCAGGTGGAGAGCAAGCTTCAAAACCTCTAGAACCACAAGGGGGGAGGGGCATGAGGAAAAGGCACATTACCACCAGCTCCTGGAATTGGCAGGCCCCTGTCTGGGAGCACTATGGTCAGGGTGCAGGTGGGTGGAGGTGTCAGCCTCTGGGTGAGTGGACTCTTGCAGGAAGGGGGAATAGGATGGGGAGCAGGGTGAGGTGTCTGGCCAGAATAGAGTTAGCTTGACTTAACTTTCTTAATTAACACATAGTTATGTTAACAGCCTAACAACAGGGTATCACTAAGTTGTTGAGGCTGGCCTCAAACTTGTAATTCTCCTGCCTCAGCTGCCCCAGTAGCTGGAATGACAGGCATACACTGCTCCCTGATTGCTCTGCAGTGCTTTTTGTGAAGTTACAAAAACAATTTTCTTTCTTTTTCATTTTCGTTCCTGGGATGGATTGAGCCCAGGGGCATTTAACCACAGAGTCATGTCCCTAGCCCTTTGTATTTATTAATTTAAGACAGGGTATCACTAAGTTGCTTAGGTCTTTGTTAAGTTGCTGAGGCTGTCCTTGAACTTGGGATCCTTCTGCCTCAGCTCCTCCATCCCCGAGCTGCTGGAATTACAGGTGTGTGCCGTGGTGCCTGGCTCCCCATGCCCCTTGGGAGCAGGGATCTGCCACCTGACTGCAGGACTGCAATGAGTTGCCATTCAGTGGAGGTCATGGGCTTAGGTCTTCTAGGCGAGTAGGGTTTGGGGGAAGGTGGTGGGTAGGCAGAAGAGTTAAGCAGAATAGTGGCATGGACATGGCAGGTCATGATAAGACTAGTTCCTAGGGTTCAGGGTAGTACCAGGGAGGGTGGACCATCTCTGTGGAGGGTGGAGCTGTTTTCCAAAGATAGTCCCTTCTGGGGACTGGACCCAGAAATTTGCAGGATGAATGCTCTGCCACTGAGCTAGCCACTCCCCCCATGTGTCACCTTAGGGACATATGTGTGTGTCAGAAAACAAATGGGCTGGGCTGAGTGGCTGTGGGAGAAAAGAAACCAGCCCATGGCTCTTTGTTGGAACTCACTTCCTGCAACCACTTGGGGTCATTTTGTTTTCCTTACCCAGGAATGGAATAGATTTGGGTTAAAGGAAGAGTCTGGTGGCATTAGAGGGGGATGTGGTTTATGCCTGAGAGTGTATAGGTGACTTTATTTCTGCCTCCAGTAGGAATGGTGAGTCCTGTTGGATACATGTTCAGACTGCCTGGCTCCTAAACCAGACTGGCTTCCCAGATCTGCCTGCCCCAAATTCCCCTCCAGTCCCTGGGCTCTTACCATGCTGTCTGACACTGCCTGTGACCCTGCTCACTTGCCCCAACTCCAAACCCTTGCTCCAGTGTCTTGCCCAGCTGGAGCCCCCACCCCAACAAGCATCCTGAACATATTCACTCTCAGTGACACCCGCCTCTGCAGAATGCAAGGAGCTCCAAGTCTGGGGACTTGACCAAACACTGCTGTGACTACTTGACATCTTTGTTCTTCAGGGTGTGGTAAGAACCTGAAAGTGGGGGAGTGTGTGGAAATAACACCCTGTGGGTCTTCTGCCCTGGCTCTGCACTGGGTGAAGGAAGCTACCTGTTGTCTTTGGCTGAGGATGATCAAGAGTTTTGAAATCAAACCGTGAGAGGCTCAACTTCTGCCAGCTCCTAAGGTCTTGTGCAAGATGGCTATGCTGGGACCTAGCATTCTGTTCCTCCAAAAACAGTGACCAAGCAGATTGCCAGTGTTTCCAAAAGAAAGATGTTAGATGAGAAGCGAAATGGCAGGATGAGGTGTATGAGAAGGAGGGCTCTTAGCAAGAAGCAGGGGTGCACACCTGTGGTCCCAGCGCTTGGGTGCCTGAAGCAGGGGATTGCTTGAGCACAGAGTTCAGAGCCAGGTTGGCTAGGCTGGCCCCCATCTAAGAACTAATCAGAGAAGATGGGGTCTTCATCAAGTTTGACTGCCCTGGAGAAGCAGAAGCCAGTGATTCAGGGGAGTGTCACATGGGCACTCGTGGGGATTTCCAGTATGAAAATACCTCCCTGACCTTGACTCATGAACAGGCAGTGTTGGGGGAGGCCAGAAGTGCGGGGTCCACTGAGATTGGAGAGATGCTGGTGAGACTGCAGTGCTAATTTGGGGCACTGTCCCCCTAGAAGTGTGTGCCTGTTGGCTAGCTGTCTTCCCATGGGTAAAGGTGGCTAGCTACCCAAGGCCTCTACAGAACTGAAATCACCACACATGAGGTTCAGAGGGCCTTAGTCCTCCAGCAATACTCCAGGGTTCTTCCAGGCCTAGGCATGGGCCTTCTCTAATCTGCTTTTGCACTTTTAAAATGGGAAGGCGTGGTGGTGCACACCTGTAATCCCAATGATTCTGGAGGCTGAGGCAGGAGGATTTCAAGTTCAAGGCCAGCCTCAGCAACTTAGGGAAGCCTGACTTAAAATAAAACAAAAGATCTGGATGTAGCTCTGTAGTATACCATCCCCAGTACCACCCCCCACTCCCATTTCATCCCCCCCCCACAAAAAAATAAATAAAAATGAATAGGGAAAAAATGTCTAGATGAATTTACCATATGGCATTCAGTCTTGGGGACTTGTCTAAAATAAAATTGTGTCCACTCAGGGTTGGGGTGTGGCTTGGTGGCAGAATGCTTGCCTGCCACACATAAGGTCAATCCTCAGCACCACAAAACAAAAGAAGTCCAAAGATCTGTAGGAGAATGCACATAGCAGCTTTACTCATAGTACCTAAAAGCTGGAAATAACCCACATGCCCATCGGCTAGGGAATGATGGACAAAATGTGGTCCATTCACACTATGGGGTGGCACTCAGCCACCATGTGCTGTGTGAGTCCACCTCGGAGGTGACCAGGACAGGCAAATCCATGCAGAAGAGGGTCACCAGTGCTGGGGCAGGTGTGGTCACTACAGGGGCAGTGCTGAGAAGCAACTGAAATACTCGAAAACTACATCATGTGGATGGTTGCACAGGTCAGTATTCTTGCTAAAAGTCTTTGAAGTATACACTTAAATTGGTGCACTTTATAATGTGAAAATGATACCTCGTGAAGCTGATGAAGCAGCATAGCTGGTCTATCCTCGATGTCATCAGCCACCAAGCACGAGAGAACAGGACTGACCAGTTGGCCTCAAAGGCCCCCAGTGTGCCTGGGGAGGGACTGTAGTCTTGAGGGCCAGGAAGCACATGCTGAAGCCTTTCCACAGGGATGCGAGAACAGCTCTCACCCATAGGAACCTTTCCCAAGTGCCCTGAGAGGTGGCAGTGACATGGCAGATGCTGTCTTTGCTGTCTCGAGGAAGGGGAACCCCCAGAAACAAGACTTCTGTTGGCCTTTCATCACTTCAAGGCCACTCAGGGTGACCTGAGGCATTGAAGGCGCAGCACAAAAGAACACCACAGCCTGGGAAGAGGCAGCTCTGGTCTCCAGCAATTCCACCCACCCCACCCCATGCAGGAATGCCCTGGACAGCACATGGGGGCCCTGTGGAATGGGTGGAGGCTTGCTACTCCTGCTAACCCAGAACATGACCACACCCCCAGTAGGGTGAGGCCTTATGGACAGAGCTCCAGACAGGTGCAGTTGGCCCTCTGCACAAACTTGCCTACCCATGAGGCATTGGCCAGTGTCAGGATGGCACCAGTAGGGAGCTCCTTCCCGATGGCAAGGTTCGCAACCTCTCCAGGGACCAGTGCCCGGTCCCAGATGGCCAAGCCAGACATGCTCCCCACAAAGGCCTCAGATCTGTCAAACCCTCCACCAACACTGTCTTGCTCCTGGCCCAGCACAAGGGACCCTCCAGGAGGGATCTCATAGCCCTCCCTAAAGTGGGAGCCAGTGGCCACTAGCCTGCGGTCCACATGGAGCCAGTACTTGCCCTGGACAGATGTCCAGATGATACAAATGTGGTGCCACTGGCCATCTAGCAGCAGCTGCAGAGGCAGCTCCCTGAAGGCTGGGTCTCCGATCACAAAATGGAGGGACCCGGGGATCAGTGAGTCTCGGCCATGCAGTACCACCTTGTTGTCATTCTCTTCAGTGGCGTAGGAGAGGAGGGTGCCCAGGTGGCCAGAGGATGTGCGGACCCAGCTGCAGAAGGACAGAGCTCGTAGGGCTGTGAGGAAGCTGGGGCTGAGGAAGATCACGTTCTCAGGGGAGGCATCCGGGAATGTGAACACGGGACCCAGGTTGCAAACTAGAAACAGAGGGAGGGGGAGTCAGCCCTGCAGCAGGAGCCCCAGAAATGGTCCTCACTCTGGAGGGTGGACTTGCGGGGCCCTGCAGCCACACCTCCTGGAGGACAGCTTGAGCTAGGAAGCCTGAGGGTTCCTCTAGTTCCTCTTGCTTGCCCTCAGGATGTGCCACCCCCAGGCAGGAACTGAGAATGAGGTTAGCCTTCCCAGGGAGCCTTCAGTCCCTAGTTAAGCCTGAGCTGTCTCCTAAGAAGGGGAGCAGATGACCATTAGCACCAGGGCACCTCTGGATGCTGTAACAAATTGCTACAAATTTAGTGTCTTTAAACAGCCTAGGCTTACTATTTTATGTTTTTGGAGGCTAGAAGCCTGATGCAAGTCTTAAAGAGCCCAAATCAAGGTGTCTCAGGACCAGCTCCTTCTGGAGGCTCCAGAGAGACATAATCTCCTGCCCTTCCCAGCTACTGGAGGCACTAGCCATCCTTCCTGTCTTCAGAGTGCATCCCACCAACCTGTCTCTGTCCTCATGTCCCCTTCTCTGACCCTCCCACCCCCCTATCTGAGTCCTGTGTTTACACAGGGCCATCCAGTAATTCAGGACCTAACCAGCTCTGCAAGAGGTGCTTCTTCAACGTGAGGAACAGGGGGCCCAAACAGGGGACCCACAGATAGGAGACCACCTGGATGAGGAGCAGGGTGGAGGTGGCAGGGGCACCACGGGTTCAGGAGGAGCTACAGGAATCTTGTAAGCCATGGGGAGGGGTCCAGGCCTGTGGCACTTACCTTCTCCTGATCCCTGAGGAGGATCCCTTGGGACTGCAGCAGCCCCACCAGGTGCCCAATGGCTGCTTGGGGCTGGGGGCTTCTGTGTGCCCAGGAGATGGGCAGTGAAGTCCCGGGACTCCGTTGGGTGAGGAGCAAGGTCCTGCCTATCTGTCAGCAGCATCAGTGGGCCCGGGTGCACAGGCTGAGCTGGAGTTGGGGCTGGGGTCCACCCTGGGGCTGCAGTGCCAGGGCTGGCCATCTGTAGTTGACCCTCGAGAGCAGCCAGCCTGGCACCCTGGCTGTGGACCTGGTGTGTCAGGCTGACCAGTGCATCCTGCAGGGCCTGTGTGCCCAGGGCCAGGCCTGAAATGACATCCCTCTGTGTCTTCTGCTCCTTTCCTGCCTGTACCCACTGCCTGGTTTTCTCAGTCAGGGCCAAGTCCAAGGCCTGCAGTCGCATGTCCATCTTCCGGCTTCGGTGCTGAGTCTTCCTCACCCAGGCCTTCAGGTGGGCCAGGTCCCCCTGGATGGCGGCCTGTGACCTGTTGACTGTCAGAGCCACAGCCTGGCTCTCCTCTACCAGGCTCTGTAACTGGGCATCAATGTCATAGGACATGTTGTAGTTGTTGGCAATGCCCTTCAGCTGTGTTAAGGTCACTTCTTGGAAACTCCGAAACTATAAAGAGGACACAGCAGTTATGAGGGGCCAGGATAGGGCAGGGATAAGGCCTTCCTGCTCACACCTCAGAAGAACCTCTGTGTTCTGGGCTCGTGGTCAGCGCTGCATAGTGACCCTTGCCATGACACTAGGAGATGCAGGTAGGGGCCCAAGCTCAGAGGGGGCGATGGAGCCCAGGCCCCACTGCAGCATTGGGGAGCATGGGTTCACCTTGCAGTCTCTGATCCTCCCCCACATCCCAGGTTCTAAATGGCCACCACCAGTTGCTTCAGTTGCAGGCAGGCTGGGCTGGGCTGCATGTGTGCTTGACTGGGCTCAAAGCAGAAACTTGTGGTGCTGGGGCACTGTCTGCAGACCCCACACAGGAGTCTGGGGGCCACCCATGCCTTCTGCTTTGAGGTAGACTAGGGACCTCATGGCTCCCACACCCAGTGTTTGTGCCCAGCACCATCGATTCCCTAGACCCCACAGCTGTGCTCCTTAGGCCTTCCAGAGCCTCCATACAGACTCTGGTCCCCTGCCAACCACACATCACTCCGCTTATTTTCAGAGTAGAGCCCGGCAAACTCTTCCTGGTTTTCAGTTGTAGGGTAGGGCACTGCTAACTGCTAGCAAGAACCACAAACTGCTTGGATTCTTGGCTCACAGTTCACACCTGCCGCTACAATTGTTCAACATCCAACCTTCATTTGTTGCCAATTTTAAAAATCCAAGAGTGGTACACCTACCTGCTCTTCTAGTCTACGGAGCCTCTCGAAAAATGGTTTTCTTTGCCCTGCTGATCCAGCTTTCTGCAGTGAAGCCCCATGTAGATACATGGGCACCAAAACCAGGAGGAGAGACAGGGTCATCCTCCCTGGCCAACCCATGCTGAGAGAAGAGGGTCTCCAGCAATCTCTGCAGGATACAGGAGGTGGCCTCGGCCCCAGTGTCTGCCTCGGCCCCAGTGTCTGTCTCGTCCCCCACTCCTCCTGGCTCTCCAGTTGAGCGGTTTTCCTTCCATGGCCCTGGCTGGGGGTCAGGCACTTCCTGCCATCTTAGGGAAAGGCATCTGCCTTCAAGCCTACTGGCTCTGTGGGTCCCAGGTTCCCAGGGAAACAAGCTTAAAACAGTGCAAACAGCTTTTCTGGAAAGCTACTCTGCTGGGGCAAGGACTTGTCTTGTGAGCTCAGAGGTGGGCGAGCACTGATGGCTTTAGCAGAAGCACATCGACTCATGTTACCACCAAAAAGTTGAAGAAGGACAGGGAACCCAGCAGGGGCCTGGAAGTCACTGGAGTCAGGTCTGTGTTGGTGCCAGCATCCCAGCCATGCCCAGCCACATCCTGTGAGGCTTTCTCCCCCTTGGAAAGGGAACTGAAATGTGATTGGCCATCACCTTATTTTTTCCTCAGGACTGGGTGATTTTAATTTTTATGTATTTATTGTCTGTTTTTTCTTTTATGGTGCAGGGATTTGAATTACGGGCACTCTAGCTTCATCATCAGCTCTTTTCTTATTTTGAGACACGGTCTTGCCAAGTTGCCCAGGTCCTCCTACCTCAGCCTCCCAAGTTGCTGGGATTATGGGAGAACACGATGGTGCCCAGCTTGATTATTTTTTATTTTGTCCTTAGAGAGGGTCTCACTCTGCTGCCAAGGCTGGTTAAAGCAATGCTCCTGTCTCAGCCTTCCAAGTTGTTGTTTCTTCTTCTTCATCTTCTTCTTCTTGGTACCAGGAATTGAACCAGGGTTGCTTAACCAGAGTCACGCCCTCAGTCACACCCTATATATTTTGAGACAGGGTCTGGCTGAGTTGCTTAGGGCCTTGCTAAATTGTGGAGGCTGACTTTGAACTTGCAAGACCCTTTCTCAAGATAAAAAACATAAAGGGCTGGGGATGTGGCTCAGTGGTTAAGTGCCCCTGCGTTTAACCCCTGCCCAAGAAGGATGCTTGTATGTTTGTGGAATGAATATGTTTCCAGATTTTCCCCCACATTCACCTCTGCTGAAATGTCACCCCTTCCCAAAGGGGAAGCCTACCTACTCTCCAGGGAGGTCATTAGAACATTCTAGTTTTTTATTTTCCATCCTGGGGGCAAACCCAGGACTTCATGCACTCCCAGCAAGGATTCTACTACTGTATTACCACTTTGCCTCAAGGGGGTGCTCTGATAAACCCAGCCTAATTCCCTCTTAAGATTGGGAGCCATCTCCTCACAAGGCATGAAAAGTTAATTCCGGCTTTACTATATATTACTGCGATTTCTAAACTTGCTTGGAATGCCTGCCGGTGCTTTGAACTCACCCATGCCTGGCTTTCCCTGGCCAGATAAGGACCCTCTCTGAAACTAGTGGCGCCTCATAAATTCTGATGTTGGGATCTAAATTTACTCCCTAAGTGCTGGACCATTAACCTGCCTTTGTGTTATGCTTGTTAAAATCCTGTTATCTGTAAGTTCTCAAGACTCCCGCCCCCCAAACACTTTTTGCAACTTTCTGAGCTATAAAGGTGCCCTCCTAGAGAGCTGCAGGGCTGTCTTCTGTCCCCACTGGTTTTGGGAGAGACAGCCTCAGCCGGTAGGAATTACAAGCTTGCTTTATTTTGATTTAAATTGGGGTTGGTGGTCTTTTTCTTTGAGTGATGGTTAATAGTTCCACGCCAGGATGTCCAGGAGGTTGGCCGCCAGCCCTAGGAACTAGGGAGTCCTCGACACGTGGCTAGAGCAACTGTGGAACGGAACCTGAGGCTTCACCTCATTAGTTTACACAGCACCTTCCCAGCGGCTACCAGATCCCATCACCCGCCTCCGCTGCGTGCAGCCTGCACTCAAAGCGTTTGAACTCAAGCGCTGTGGAGAGCAGAGCCGCTGGGGAGCGCAGGCGCAACCCACAGTCACGTGGCCGCGGGTCCCGGTCCCATCTAGAGCACACCCACCTCCCTCGATCGGACCCGCCCTGCCGCGCAGGCGCACACGCGCGGTGCCGCCTGCCTTTGCAGATTCGCGGAACCCAGCGAGGAGCGGCGGGGGCTTTGAAGGCCGCAGTCACTCCTCACGCGGGGACCGGAGCTCGCGGCCGCCCGCCGGTTGAGGCCGGGCCAGGCCGGGTGGCCGGTGCGCTCAGGGAGGGATCCCGCTGTCCCGGACGCCCGGCTGCCGGCAGCATGGAGCCCGCGCGCTCTGCGGTCGGACTCAGCGTCCGGGAAGCGGTGCACATCCTCCAGTCTTCTGAGGACGGTGGCCGCGTCCTCTCCGCCCTGGAGTCCCTGCAGCACTATCTGCGAGGAACCGGGGAGCCCACGCTGCCGGGAGAGCAGGAGGAGTTCGCCGCCAAGCACTTCGCTGCCGTGCTGCGCTGTCTGGTCGGCAGGCTGAGCCCCCGCTGGCTGCAACTGTCGCCCTGCGACCGGCTGGAGCAGCTCTGGGACAGCTTCTTCCTGGAGGGCCCTGCTGACCAGGCCTTCCTAGTGCTGATGGAGGCCATCGAGGGCACTGCCGGGTGAGTGAGGCTGGGGGCTTGTGCAGCGGCCTGTGACTTGGAAGCACAGAAGGGCCTGGGGAATTGCAAACTGCAGGGTTCATCCTGGAAGGTGCCAGGGAGAGAACAGAGCCTGCGACCTGCTGAACCCCCTGGAACTGATAGTGACTGTGTTCTCTAAGATGGGGAGGACCTGCCGGCATCTCGACCTTGCAGGACGGCCGAGGAGGGGTGTTCACATCACAGCAGGCCCCAGCCAGCTCCCCTAGGCAGTTAGCATTGCTGCTTCGTGGTCCCAGCCCTGCAGTGAGGCTTTCTGGGCACAGTGGCAGCTCTCAAGGCCTCTTGGGATATTTTCAGGTTTTCCAGGGAAGCACAGCTTTTTTGACACGTGCCTGCCATGGACCCCCCCAGCCCCAGGCAGTTCCCATGTTCAGCATCAGATCACACACAGATCAGTCCTTGTGAGGACTCTGAGGAGTCTTTGAGAAGCTGGGTTTTTAGAAGTTGCTGTGATTAAAAGCATGAACTCTGTGAAAATCCACGCAGAGCAAGGGAGGAGGTGGTAGGGCCCAGCTGCACTCACCCCATTTGTATCTGATTCAGGAGTGGAGTACAAAGCGTGTTCTTTCAGCTTATGAGTTAAGACAAAATGTTACTGGAGCTGTTGGGACTACCTGTCTAAGGGGGGCTGTGGAGACTCCTTTGGCCCGGAGCAGGCTTAGGGGCTCTGCCCGATACACCTGTTCTTGTTCAGCCCCAGCTTCCGTCTGATGAAGATGGCACAGCTGCTGGCCAGGTTTCTGAGTGAGGGCAGGGTAGCAGCCCTGATGGAGGAGCAATGCCGGCCGCAGATGAAGCCTGGCTTTCCCCTGCTCCAGGAGACACTGCTCAGCAAGGTGGTGAGCCTGCCTGACCACCTGGGCAACCATCTGCAGAAGGATAACCTGGCCCAGTTCTTCCCCCAGAACTACTTCCCACTGCTGGGTGAGGAGGCTGTGCGGGCGCTGCAGTCAGTGGTGGATTCTCTTCGAGGTGAGTGCTGTGTCTCCCTGCCCCTCTTCTCAGCTGTCATTCCCTCCTTCTCCATCCACTTCCCCTGCCAACTTGGGTTTGTCTCATATGCCTTTGGTGATGGCATTTCAGGCTCCCATGGCAAGGTGAAGGTGCTGGGAGGTCTTTGAGTCTGGAGGCAAGTGCTGCTGGTGGACTTGCTCATAGAGCACTAGGTATTATCCTGTGTGCTGTTTGGGGCTGGCTCTGCCTCTTCTGGGCCTCACGGGCATGGCTTCCAGTTTCAAGAGAAAGGAGTGTCTGGGGCAGTGTGATTCCATGGGTCAGTGGCCTGTAAGGCAAGGCCAGTGGGTGGATTTGCCTCTTCCTGCAGTATGGCCCCTCCCTTCTTATTTCTATCATGGGCTCACTCAGGCATGAGCTGCACCTCAGCTCAGCTTGTTTAACTCTGATTGCTTAACTCAATCTCCTTGTGGTGCTGAGTTCCCACTGTGGTTCACTGTCCTTCCATGTGCTCAGGCCCAACACCCTAAGTCCCCTGTGACCTGCACCCCTGTGGGACTCAGAGCCCAGGAGGAAGCTGGCACCCTCAAGTCTCTGCAGGTCTGTCCACCTGGTCAGGTATTGTGTGTGTTGTCCCATGACCTCCTTGCTTTCTCTCCCAGGTGGCCTACACTGTTCTGTCTCCTTTGTGTCTCGAGTCCTTGGGAAGGTGTGCATCCAGGGAAGACACAGTGAGTAGGGCCTGCCTTGGGGGAAGCAGCACCTGTCTCTCCCATTCAGCCCTTGGGAGAGGTTGAGAATCACTGCAAGCCCCTCAGCAGCAGTGGGAGCTGGTCCCAGCCTTCTTTGGGGTCTCTATGCTAGCCCTGGGTCCACAGAGGTTTGTCTTGGGGCTTAGTTGTGCTCTGGGGGGTTCCCTTGCTAGCCCTAGGTCCACTGAGGTTGGCTCTGGGGCTCAGTTGTGTTCTGGGGGGTCCCCTTACTAGCCCTAGGTCCATTGAGGTTGGCTCTGGGGCTCAGTTGTGCTCTGGGGGGGTCCCCTTGCTAACCCTGGGTCCACTGAGGTTGGCCCTGGGGCTCAGTTGTGCTCTGGGGGGGTCCCCTTGCTAACCCTGGGTCCACTGAGGTTGGCTCTGGGGCTCAGTTGTGCTCTGGGGGGGTCCCCTTGCTAACCCTGGGTCCACTGAGGTTGGCCCTGGGGCTCAGTTGTGCTCTGGGGGGTCCCCTTGCTAACCCTGGGTCCACTGAGGTTGGCTCTGGGGGGTCCCCTTGCTAGCCCTGGGTCCACTGAGGGCTTAGAGCTCTGGGGCTCAGTTGTGCTGGCTGGTGAGCCATGGTGCTGTGTACACTGGACCAGTGGTCCCCTGGCTGAGTGCAGCTCCTGAGGCTCATGTCCTCTCTGTGTCTCCTCAGAGGAGATCTTGGGCAGGTTGGTGCCCCAACTGACAGCACTCACCCAGGGCAGCTGCTTGTGGCAGCGGGTCTGCTGGCACCTAGTGGAGCAAGTGCCGGACGGGGCCATGGAGGCTGTGCTCACAGGGTTGGTGGAGGCCACTCCAGGGTAAGCAGCACAGCACTCTTTCCAGTCAGTGCATCTCTGGGGGTGGGGGGTGGGGAGTGGGCTTTGTGGCAGCTGCCATTCCCTGTGCTGCTTTTCCTGGTGGCCCTGCTGTAGCCAGTTGTCCTGTTGTACTCCCTGGGTGCGTTGGCTGGTGCTGCCTTAGTATTGCTGATTTAGGCTGGCCACTGGTTGTGCAAATGCACACACTGATGGTGCCCACCTTCATCATTGCCAGTGGATCCTCCACATGTGTCCACGGCTTAGTACAGAAGGTCTCCTGCCCGGTGGGTTCCCCAAGTCCACACGCTGGGGGAACCATAATCTCTGCTGAGGCAGCAGCTCTTTTCAGACTTAGAGATCCTGTTTCTTTCTCATGAAAACAGTGTAGGTGTTCTCCCAAGCCCTATTGGACAGGAGGACTGTGTGAGAAGCAGCCCGCATACGTTTTTGACATTCAGGCCTGGAGGAGGAAAGTTAAGGACCCATTGAGGTTATCCAAGGCCCACAGTGAGCAAGTGGCAGGGCCAGGCTGTTGGTGCCATCAGAGGGTATGCTTTCCCAGCCTGCCACCCACCTCCTAGGCACTCATGACTGGCTTCTTCTGACCCTGCTTTATAGGCCTGAGGTCCTGTCACGACTACTGGGGAATCTGGTGGTGAAGAATAAGAAAGCCCAGTTTGTGATGACCCGGAAGCTTCTGTTCATGCAGTATCGATGCACGGTGAGAATGTAGGGCAGGGCTTGGGCTGAAGGCCACCCTTGGTTACAAGAAGAATCACTATTAAAAGTGGAGGCTGACTCAGTGGAAGAATGTGTACCCAGCATGCACAAAGCCCTGGATTTGATTCCCAGCCACAGAAAACAGGTAGAGCAGTCACCTAGGAATTGTCAGTGAAGCAGCAGCACTGCCCTGCCCAGCTGCAGGCCCTGCTGCAGCAACACCGAGCAAGCCCAAGGGGGTTAGTGCCTTGGGACTTGGTTGCTGAGTGCTTCCCAGACACGGTGCAGCTGTCTCTGTGGCTTGGAGTGTAGGCTGTGACTGGAGGGCTGTGGTGGTTGGGCAGGGGAGAGCAAGAGCAGATGTCTTGGCCTGAGGAGGGACCAGCAGTGCATTGATGCCCACAGTGTGCCCAGCTCTGTCCCAGGTGGACAGAAGAGCCGTAGTCTCTCCTTGAGGAACTCACGTTATAGGCAGGGAGACAGTGCTACCTGCATAAACCATGGTATATAATTCATAGCATGGCACATTTGGCACTGTGGGACCTAGGGGGCAGCCTCAGTGCTGCAGGGCTCTGCAAAGACCTCTCTGAGGGGATCTGGCAGGTGCAGAGCCATGGTCCTGATAGAGGTCTGGCCAGGAGGATTGTGTGGCTGGCTTCTGAACACTGGTCCCAGCAAGCCGGCTGGCAGTGGGCCCTGTGCCCCAGAGAGAAGGAGGTGTGGCAAGGGTGGGCTGCTTCAGGTTGGGGTGGGCAGCTGAGGTTTAAGCAGAGGCATCCAGACCTGACTGTGTTACCCAGACCCACCCTGGCCTCTGTGCAGAGGATGGGTGGGGGCCAAAGTGGAGGTAGAGCCAACTCGCCCTGGGTGCTTGGGGGTGAAGCAGGCAGGAGTTCTTCAGAGCTCTAAGGATGACGCAGGTTCAGCAGCCTGGATCAGGAGGCCTGGCAGCCTCTTGAACCCTGGCTTCATGCCCTTGGTGGGGTTCAGAGAGGCAGGCGGACAGTGCAGTCCAGGCAGACAGAGAGCCAGAGATGGCCCCCAATCCCTGTGCTATAGGGCATTTGAGGCCCCCAGAATATAGCCAACCAATGGGATAAACCCAAGTACTGGCGTGAACATCTGGCAGTCATTCCGGGTGATGGGGCTGCTGGACCAGAAATGAGTAGCAATAGAGAATAACGGTGCTACAGCATAGTGCTAGATAAAGTGACCCAAGCCCCACCCAACAAACATGATGGCACCACCAGCTGCCGTGAAGCATGCCTATGAGCTCAGCTACTTGGGAAACTGAGGCAGGAGGATCACAAGTTTAAAGCCAGCCTGGCCGACTTAGTGAGGCCCTGTCTCAAAATAAAAAATAAAAGGACTAGAGATGTAGCTCAGCAAGAGACCTTTCAAAAGGAAAGAAAACAAAGAACAAAGAGAAAGCTGAACAGCAGAGCAGGCAGTGCTGAGGTGGAAGGTGCACCTGGGCTGAGCAGAAAAATCCAGGACCTTTGAAATGTAGCAGCTTGATGGTGACTGGTTTTCAAACATGGATGAGATAGAAAATTTCCTTAGAAAAGTGTATGTGCCCAAGCTGACGAGTGCTGCTCTGGGGTATGGCCTAGCAGGAGAGCACTTTCCTAGAGTGCTTGAAGCCCTGGGTTTGATTTCCAGCACTGAGGAAAAAACAAAAACAAAACTGACAAATGCAGAAGCAGAGGGTACTGAGGAGTAGTAGGAGGTGGAGGGCGGCACTTACCATACTAGTCCTCAGCCTGGACTCCTGGGCATGACACGCTCACCCTCAGGAGCCTCATGCAGCCTCTGCCTCATTAAGGACACCACTCTTGTTGTAGACACCCATGCTGCAGAGCCTGCTGGGGTACCTGGCCATGGACAGCCAGCGGCGTCCACTCCTCATACAGGTAAGTGCTACCTGCCTCTGACCCTGTGGTGACCCCAAGAGAAGGGAAGGCTGGGGGTCCCAACTTTGCTCCTGTTGGAGCCTTTGGGGTGGCTGTGGACACCAGCACACGTGATCCTGGGCCATGGCAGAACTGCTGCCTGACAGGCTGGTGCTGTGCTGCCTGCAGGCGCTAAAGGAGCTGCTGGAGACCTGGGGCAGCAGCAGCGCTGTCCGACACACGCCCCTGGCTCAGCAGCGCTACGTCAGCATGGCGGTGCTCATCTGCCTGGCACACCTTGGGGAGCCAGAGCTGCGGGACAGCCGGGAAGGTGAGCAGGTGGTGAGGGCACACCCCCACCCCAGGCATGTGAGAACCCCTCAGGATGCATGTTTGGTGCTTCCAGAGTTGCTGGCCAGCATGATGGCAGGTGTGAAGTGCCGCCTGGACAGCAGCCTGCCTGCCGTGCGCCGCCTAGGCATGATTGTGGCCGAGGTCATCAGCACCCGGATCCACCCTGAGGGGCCTCCATTGAGATTCCAGGTGAACAGGCTCCGGATCTCCCTGTTACTCCAGCTCAGTATGTACCTCCCCTCCTGGGGCCCAGGCCCATGGAGTGTCCCACATTGGCTACACTGAGGGCTGAGGCCTAGGAGTGGTGGGTGTCAACCTCAGCTCCTGGTGATCACAAGGATCAGGGCTGAACGCACCAGCACATGTTCCTCAGGACACAATCCCTGGAGGTGGAACTCCAGAGAGGTTGGGGTGAGGGAAGCTGTTGCCCTGGGGCTGGTCTGCCACAGGCTGCTCTGGCCAGGCAGAACAGTGACTGGCCTCTCTGCTGCCTGCTTCCTGGTGTGAATGCCACTTGTGTGGCCAGCATGTTTCTCTGACTGCTGGGCCCTGCCTGGCCTTATTGCAGACATCCCCTCCTCCTTGGGACGTCTTCAGGGGATCAGCCTCCTGCAGAGCCCCAGCTCCTTCATGAGGAAGTGACTCTGTAGCCTTGGCACATTTGGAATTTGCTCTAGAAAAGGACAGGCTACTAAACAGGATCCAGACGTTTTTAGAGGAGGCCTGGCTCCAACTGTGTCTGACTGCAGTGAAGTGGTGTCTGAAGCCTGGTGGGTGTCAATGACTGGTATGTTTTGTATTTACAGTATGAAGACGATGAGCTGAGCCGTGAGATGCTGGCCTTGGCTACTCCCCGGCCTGCGGGAGACAGCCCCTTGGAGGCAAGGTGAGGGTCTTCACATCCCTCATCCCCACCCTGTGTGTATGCACACCTTGTCATTCTGGATTCCATTCACAGGACAGGAGTTAGGGAAGCAGTGGGTGGAGGTGCTGGGAGTGTCCCCACAGGCAATCCTGAATGCTTGTTCCTCTTGCTTCCCAGAGGCTCATCACTGGATCCAGTTGTGGCAGAGACCCCTGCAGAGACCATGAAGGGTAGTGTGCCCCCAGCTCAGCTGCAGGGCTCTGACTCGGAGCTGGACAGGTAGGGCTGGGCTTCTGTGCTTGAGGGGTGGCACTGGCTGCACAGCAGAGCTGAGCTGTGCAGGTCACCAGCACAGTGGGGTGCACGCTGTGGGGTGGCTGTGCCAACCCCCAATGCCTCCTTCTGGTCTGCAGCAGTGCTGTGACTTTTCAAGGCTCTGGGGACTTGGGGAGTGAATTTCAGCATTTTCAGGACTTGCCCTTGAGGAGGGGTACATAAGTGGCACCGGAGTCCAAGTTTTCTCACTGAGAGTGGGCAGTTCCATTGTCTATTTTGTCTCATTTACAGTGACGATGATTTCATCCCCTACGACATGTCAGGGGACAAAGAGCTGAAGAGCAGCAAGGCACCTCAGTATGTGCGGGACTGCATGGAAGGTGAGCCTTGGTGGGGTCACACTGCAGGTCTCACCTCACAGCTATTTCCTCTGAGGTCTTCCCACCCTGCCCCGACACGCTGGGTCCATCAACTAGCTGCCCCTTGTTCAGGGTTGGGGCTGAGATGACTGAGGCCTTCTGTGTTCTGTGTAGCACTGACCACATTTGAGGATAAGGATATGGAGCGCTGGGAAGCTGCCCTGAAGGCCCTGGAAGGCCTAGTCCGCAGGAACCCTGAGGCCACACGGGAGGTGAGCAAGAAGAGGGTGTTAGAGCAAAGGGGGAGGTTGCTAAGTACTCTGGTGGCAGGTCCCCTACGATGGCAGCTCTTCTTGTGCCATCTGCATTCTGGGTCATGGAGAGTGGGGACATCTTGCTGGCTGCTGCATGTCTCCAGGAGACCTGGAGCCCCTGCTAGGTGGGCAGCAGGTGGGTGGCCCAGGCTCTGAGGTGCATGTAACATACTGACTGCAGCCCTCATGTAGGTGAGTGTGGAGCTGGCCAGGGTACTGTTGCACCTGGAGGAGAGGACCTGTGTGGCGGGATTTGAGGAACTGCGCCAGAGAGCCCTGGTGGCCGTTACAGTCACAGACCCGGCCCAGGTAAGTCCCAGTGTGGGTGGCCCCACAGTGGGGAGCACTCTGACAGCTCTCTTTACTAGGTTGGGTGTGGTGTCTAGAGGGTGTGCCCTGTGGCCTGGTCCTCAGTGGCCTCTCTGCCTGGCTCAGGCAGTTGAGTAACTGACCTCATGCAGGGTTGACTGGTGCCTGGAAAGTGTGTCTATGGCCTGGGCCTGGCCCTCATTGGCCTCTCTCTGCATGGCTTAGGTAGCTGAGCACCTGACCTCACAGTTCTATGCCCTGAACTACAGCCTCCGGCAGCGCATGGACATCCTGGATGTGAGTGCCTCTAGACCCCTCTCCCTGTAGTCAGTTCCAAGCTGCCCTACTGTGGGGAGGTGAAAACCTATGTGGACAGTGACTAAAGCCTCCCCAAGTCACTTTGTTGACCTGAACGGGCCAGGTGACTTCTGTCTGCTGTTTGAGTGTAGCCAAGTATGCAGGTTCACCACTGTTGGGACCAGGAGCTCTGGCAGCTGAGTTCCTTTGTTTTAAATAACAAAATGTACCACTTAAATATAAACAAAATGTGGCGTCCCCGTGGTTGAGGATCATCCAACTATGAAAAAGAATGAACCAGTGCATGAGACGTGTGGGAGGAGCTCGATGCCTGCTAGGCCCTTGGCGAAGGACTGCCTGTGGCAGGACTGCCAGGAATGGTGGCCTCAGAGCAGGGCTGGGCTCCTAGTGCTTAGTGAGGAGCATGGTCTCTTAACACCATAGAATAGCCGAGAGATGACTACGCAGGCAGCGTGGGCCATCACCCTCATCCCGAGGCTCTGCCTGTTGTGGGTGTTACATATATGCAGTAGCAGCGAGTCTGCTCTCCTGAGACTGGCTCACTTGCTGAGCATGCTTTTGGTCATTCTTTAAGGCTGCCTTCTCCAGAGGAGTGGCTCTGTATGGAGTCTGGGGAGCCTCAGGGAGAGGTGGTGGTTGGGTTGGGTGTGCCCCACCTTCTTGCCTGCCCTCCCAGCAAGGCGCAGAGACCCACTAGCACTGGAGATGACTTTCTCTGTGACTTCCAGAACACCTGCCTTGTCAAAAGACTGTGAGGGCTGCTGGGTGCTGTTGCTGGTCTGGGGCTCTGTGGGGCTTGGTTTAAAGACTGTCCTTCCCAAGAGCCACAGCACTCCCCTGGTTGCTCCTCTCCTCTAGGTCCTGACTCTGGCTGCCCAGGAGCTGTCTCGGCCAGGGCGCCTTGGGCAGTCTCCCCAACACAGTTCCCTGGGTCCCGGCACCCAGTGCTCACCAGCACTGACTGCCTCTCAGTTTGGCAGTGTCATGGTTCCTGACTGGAGGGTGGTGGTAGAAAATCGGATCAGAAGCAAGACCCGGCACTTCTCCAAGGTCAGTTAGGGCTTTAGTCAGGTCCTTATAGGGAAAGGGCACTCTGGATGGTAGGATAAGCAATTACATTCCTCCAGTGTTATCTGTGCCAAGGGGGTGGCAGGAGCCTAGGGCAGGGATGGCACCAACACTGGTGCTCCTTTAAGTGAGTTTATGGTACAGATCAAAGGTAGTCAGACCAGTGTGGATTTAACATGTGAATACAAATGCAGAAGTGAGAAGTCCTAGAGTCCTGAGGGGTTTTCACCCAGGGTTGGCCCTGCTTTCCCTGGGATGTCTGGTGATGAGAAACTGTCATGGGGTGGTAGGGGTGGAGGCCAGGAAGCTTACATCCCAGTGCCCAAGGGTTGCTGTACCATGAGGCCTGTCCAGCTCTGAATGTATTGCACACAGGGTTGGGACATGAGGCCAGGCACCTCAAGCAGGTTGGGGTGTTGTGCTTGTGTTTGACAGGGCTCTCCTTGGCAGGAGCCAGCAGGTGGCCCCAATGAATTCGCCTCCGTGGCTGGCTGTTTCTTTTTCCCCCTCCTTCATCATTTTGACAGGTGAGTGGATTTATGCAGTCTGGACACACTCACTGGCTGGAGAAAGCATCACAGCATGGGGCCTGAGTGGGACTTTGGGCAGGAACATGTTTGGTTGTTCTTAAGTTAATGTGAAGTTTTCTGGAAGCGTTCCTCTGCCATTAAGCTTTGCAGTGTGTCAGTCACTGTTGTGTCCGACTACTCCTGGTCTCAGGGTTATGGATGGACTGGTAGTGCCCTGCATGCTCTCCACCCCGACTGCCACTTGCTCACCTCCTTCTGCCTTGGCCAGCCCTGAGCTCCCACCCACCATCAGGTGTGGCCCTCAGGCAAGAGTGGAGAAGCTGTGCTTCTTTCTCACTGAGCCCAGCATATGTGCTGGGCATCTGGGAACACCTTCTCCCTGGCTCTACTGGAGCCTCGTGGGGTTGGGTGGTGACTAGAGCAAGAAGGCTCTGCAGAACTTTTGGACCCAGGCTCTCCCTCTGTATCCCTGGGGCTAGACAGCCAGCCTTGAGGTGCCATGGCTCTGCCACTACTAGATTCTGTGTTGCAGGCCTCTAGTGACCTTTGACCTTTTGGGAGATGACCAGTTGGTTCTTGGAAGACTGACCCATACTTTGGGGGCCTTGATGTATCTGGCAGTCAACACCACAGTGAGTTGGAAAGTGGGAATTTCAGGTCCTGCCACATCTCGTTCACCGCTGCAGAGTGTGGGCTTCACCCAAGTGTTCGCATTGATGGCATGTGTGGCCCTACCTGTGGGAGGGGGTGATGGCCACGGTCATGGGCCTGGAGCACTGCATACCTGACATTCTCCCTTTACCATGGCCCTGAGGACAGGCCTATGTGAAGCTGCACAGGGGCATCAGATATGTGTCTTTTGGGTGCTGGGTAAGGGGAGTGGCAAGCTGAACATGGTACCCATACTTCTGCTGGTTTTCAGGTGGCTGTACGCATGGGTAAGGCCCTGCTGGAATTTGTGTGGGCCCTTCGCTTCCATGTGGACACGTGAGTGGGCTGCGGGCTGCGGGCGTGGAGTCTCTGGCAGCAAGGTGTGGGCTATGCGGTGGGAGGTAGCCTGACCAGGCCCAATGCGCAGTGTTGCGGATTGATCTGCTGGACTCAGGGAAGTGTCCCTGCAGTTCTGGCAGTGCTGTTTAGGGGCTCTGGCCACATAGTTGCACCTCACCTTCTCTAACTTCTTGCTTGGTAGCTACGTGCGCCGGGGCTTGCTTTCTGCGGTCTCTTCTGTCTTCCTCAGCGTGCCTGCAGAGCGATTACTAGAGGACCTGCCAGATGAGCTGCTGGAAACCAGGTCCTGGCTGGCAGGTGAGTAGCCCTGGCTGTAGCGGCCAAGCAGGCAGGACATCTGGGCATGTGAGAAGGCTGGAGCAACCTAGCTTAAGAGTGGGCATGTCCCTCCCTGTTGTGCTGAGAAATATGGTTAACCTAGCATGGGGCAAAAGGGGGAGAGGACAGTCATGCTGTGGTTGCTTTGGGGAATCCACTGAGGTTCCTGATAGAAGGCTATGCAGGTAGTGGAAGTGCTGGGAGCCTGCACCCAGACTTAGAGGTGCAGTGTCTGCCGTACTTTGTCCCCTCCTCCCAGCTCCAGACACTGAACACGCCCCAGGCTCCTGAGCTGGACCCATGGACAGGCCCTCCAGCTGCCCTGGGATGCTCTGTGATGTCTTTTTCTTTCCATTTGACCCCAATACAGGGTCCAGCTGAGGCTCCCACGTGACTCATAGCTGCCCTGCCTCTTGGGCTTCTGGCTGGGCATCTTCTGTTGCTGTGCTTTTCCTGCTGAAGCCATGTGGCTTGTGGAAGGCCCCACTCATTAGGCCCAAGTTCCACCTGCTTGTCAGGCATCTGGGCCAGGCAGGGGCAGGGTCTTTACATGCTGCAGGTGCCCCAGGTGGGCAACTCTAGGCAGGATCATTGTAGGAAGACTGCCTTCCCATTGGTGATAGCGAGGACTTTATTGGTGTCTGTTCCATCCTAGCTGTGGGCTTCTTCCCTGCCTAGCTCCTGCCATGGCAGGAATGGGCATTGTCCACAGGAAGTGGAACAGATGAATCATTGGGTGCCAGGAAGAGCCAAGAGCAGGCTTGGTGGCTGTGGAGAGGGTCAGCCATCATTTGACCTCTCCCCAGCACCTGGGCTTGGGGTGCCAGGTCCCAGGAGCACAGCTTACCACCAGAGCTTGTGTCTCAGAGAAGCAGAGGGCTTTATCTCCCTTGAAGGGAAGTGAGGGATGCCCAGAGCCTCTGCCTCCTTTGTCCTTGTCTACCTGTGGCCTTTGGGAAAGTCCCAGGCTTCTATTCAGGACCTGGCTCCTCTCTCTGTGTCAGTCCTGGTGGGGTGGAAGCACCAGCTATGTCTCCTCACATGCAGTCTGGAAGAACTGCAGGAGCTCAGGGCTCATCTCCTCAGGCTGGTTTTAACCCAGGTTGGTGCTCAGGATAGCTGAGCTATGTGACTGGACTGTGGCCTGGTTCCCTCCCTCCCAGTGGAGGTGTCTCCATCACCTGTCCCACGGTAGAGAGCCCTTTGCCAGGTGAGTGAGGTAGGTTGTTGGAACAGGAATGACTGGCCCTGCAATGTACTTGTGTTGTTTTTACCTGGCAGATGTGGCTGAGAAGGATGTTGATGAGAACTGCAGGGAGCTGGCCGTGAGAGCGCTGCTGCTTCTGGAACGACTCAGAGACAGACTCCTCTCCCTTCCCTCCTAGTCCCTGATGGACCCTAGGCATTCCTGCTGGGTGGGAGGAAGGCTTCAACAAGTGGACCCATGTAACACCTGAGTTTGCAGTTTGACCAGGTCTGGAGGGCCATCCGGTCCCAGTGTGTGCATGTAGGAAGGGTGTGTTCAGCTAAAAATATGGAGGGCCTCGCCCTGGCCCCCACAGGCAGAGCAACCCAAGTGCTGGCCTGCAGCTCCCAGTGGGCCCTGTGGTCAGGGAACGCCAGAAGCAGGAAGGAAGCAGCTGCTCAGAGCCCAGTAGCAGAGCAGGCTTGGCCCTTGGCCCTGTGGCTCAGTGCTGTCCCAGGAGAATAAATAGGGCAGGAGGTATCACAAGTCTTCCTTTGTGGTTTTCAGTGAGCAGGGACTTCAATTCCTAGAGGACTGTGAGATGCAGCCATGAAAATGGAGTGCAGTGTGAGGCAAAGGGGGGTGGAAGGGGCCTCTGAGAAAGTAGGCTTTATTGGAGTTGTAGGAGTATCAACATCTGTTGGTAGGTGTGATGGTCAGGACTCGGGCCTGGCCACAGTGGTCCCTTCTGAACCATCCTGGAGCCATCTGGGTGTGGGTGTGATTAGCAGTGATGGGCATCTCTAAGACACAGGTGCAGCCTCAGTGCACCAAGTTCTACAAGTTCCTTCCACTCCACAACTGGTAGTTGGGAGAACCTGGGAAAGCTGAATCCACTGAATCCAGCTCCTTTAAAAGGAATTAAACCAAAACACCACGGAAGCTGCCAAGTGCCCTGAGGCAGGAACGCTGAGGGAAGGCTCAGGGATACAGGCAGTCCTCTGCACACTGTGGGCTGGGCCCTGCTTACTTGTTATGTTATGAACATGTTTTTTTTTCCCCCTACAAAAAAGAGATGACTAGAGACTGGAAATTCCAGAAGCAGATCTCAGCAGCAGGACAATGGCCAAGGCCCATCAGGGGCCATTCTCTACCTCCTCTATCACCTCATCATGGTCCTCGATGCTGTTGTGGCGGATCCGCTCAGGCACCACGCGTGTCAGAGGGAGGCCCAGGCCCTGATGCACGGCATCTACTGTCTGCTGGTCCACGTAGTAGGACATGTTGGCAGAAGGAAGTCTCTTGCGCATCTCCTCGAGGTACCTGTAGGCCTAGGGCAGAGGGAACAGCTGTTACTTAAAGGCCCAGTGGACACCTCAGCATATGAGAGCCAAGGGAGCCATCTTGTCTGTTCACTGTAATAAGGTCACCTCAACATGAAGTACCCACTCTGTCCCAGGGGTTGTAAGCAGGGAAGCATGCGTTTTGAGGTTTCTGGTATTTACAAGGGGACATGTGTCCCAGGCAGGGCAAGGTATGTTTCATGCTGTGGCCAGTATGAACAACTGAAAACCAGAACCCCAGAGAGTCCTCTGGCAACCCAGAGCAAGAATGTGGTCCAAATTCCAGAATTGTATTCCCTCTAAAACTGTTCCCTGGATGGTGGTGGACCTGCTGCAGGAGGGTGGATTCCATTTCCGTCTACTGTAGCACATGTACTTGCTGGAATGCAGGGCAGGCATTGTTTATTTCAGCTGAGTGTAAGATTTATCCCAATTCTATCACATCTCCTGTGTGAATGGTCCTTGATCCTAGGCCTGTAAACTGGAAATGTCAATGGGTTTCCTGTGTGATTTCATCTGGTCTTGCCAGGGGGACATGTGGAAGGGCACAGTGGTGACACTCATGATGGAGCTCCAGGGCCAAGGCAGGATGGGCCTTAGCCTCCTCAGAGCACTATGCTTAAGGCCTCTTCATCCTCAGGGAGGGACACATACAAATGGGGGAGGATATATGGGGCTTTATGCTGCTTCTAGGGCTCACTCCCATGGGGCACATGAATTCAGAATGTGACCAAAATTTTTAGCAGCTTTTAAATTGTTAATGAGAAATAACAATTTGATCTTAGTATTTAAGGCTTAAAGATGGTGAAATACTTGGAACAATTTTATTTTGGATAGATAAAGCTAGTAAGCACAGAGAAGAATATGAAGATCATGTAAGTAAAGGTAAAATATGCTTTCTGGAAGGGTCACTGACACTCTCATGCAATCAGCCTTTATGCAGAGAACTTGCTAGGGGTGGAAGGCAGCCCAGTGCAATGGAAGAGTGTTCTCCTGGGTGTTCACAAACCACCTTACATACATCAGGACCCATGCTGGGTGTGTGGGACAAGGTGAGTGGGGCGGGAGTAGAGCCTGGCCACAGCAGGACTCAACCAACACAAGAGGAGGGAAGAGTGAGGAGCTGAAAGACCCTGGAGTAGAGGTTACACAGCCAGGTCCAGTGGGTGTGCTTATTCAGTTGAAGATTAGACTGTTGTTGGGATGAAAATAATGTCTGAGATGAAAAGTTTAGGTGGGATTAACATTGGTGGACATGACAGAAGGAGAGATGATGAAGCCGGAGCAATAGCAACTTCCCAGAATGAAACACGGAAAATACTGGGGGGTGAGTGGACAGAAGAGTGAGTAGAGCCAGAGGACAGTAGGCCCAAGTGGCTAGAGCAGAGGAGAGAAGGAACAGAACCTTCAGTCTGGGAGGAGACTTACAAAAAGGTGTGTTTGATAAAGGAAATGTATCTAGAAGACAAAGAAGGTGACCCAACAATAAGAAGGCAAGAACCAAGTACAGTGACCACAAACTGAGAAGTACATGAGAAGATGCCCAGCATGGCTGAGTGAGGACCAATGACAAGTTGTGGTCAACACTTGCTGGTTCACATGTGGGTGTGGTGTTGACAACTTCCTCAAGAATGAACAAAGTGAGCTGGGCCCAATGATGCACACCTCTGATTCAGGTACTTGGAAGGCTGAGGCAGGAGGATCACAAGTTCAAGGCCAGTCTCAAAAAATAGAAGGGCTGAGGATGTTACCTAGTGGTAGAATGCTTGCACAGCATGTGCAAGGCCCTGGGTTACAATTCTCATCTTGTGAGCTGAGGCAGTGCTCAGTGGTAGAGTGTGTACCTAAAGTGCACAAGGCCCTGGGTGCCTCACCATCTGGAACTCCTCCCTCTGCACGTAGTGTTCCACCAGGAAGCTGCAGACGTCCCCAATGCGGACAGTGCTGTCTAGGTCAGGCTCCTCCAGGAGCAGCTCGCACTGCCTGATGGACTCTTGGGGGTCCTCTGTGTAAGTCCTGCCCAGAGAAAGGGGATGCCTGAGTCCTGAACCCAGAATCTGCTGTGTGCCAGGGGGCAGTTCAGTATATGTCCTATAGCGGTAGCTCTGGGAATGGTGGGGGGCAAATTTTTTGTGAAGGTAATTTCTGTGAATTAAGCTCATTAATTCCTTAAGTTGTTCATACGTTCAGCACTCCCTGCTCACAAGTTGTGTGGTGTCCTATGCTTGGACACCAAGATCAGGGGCTTGTAATCCTCTTGCTGCCCTAGAATCTAGAGGGGACAGAAGCTTCTAGGCTACAACTGATGTGGGGGTTGCTTAGTGTCACATGGAAGGGGGGTGGCGAGGGATGTGCCACCTTGCCCAAGGCAGAAGGGCTGGCTTAAACACAGGTTGGCACATGTGACCAGCACAGAATCTGTGGCAGAGACCAGGGAGGGGACCTGGCAGGATGTAACCTGGTTCTGCAGCCATTAGGGTCCAGGATCCCTCCAGCCATGCTGACTGTCCTGGTGTGCCACTATGGACAGCTGAGCCCTAACAGGCTACTCCTACCCCCTATTCATTTCCTCTTCATTCATACATACCCCGTCCTGTGGCTAAGACTACATCTTACCCATCCTTCACTCCTGACCCCTGCAGCCCAGGTTGGGAGACCTAGATCATAAGGCCACACAGGCAGCAACCTCCAAGGAGTCTGCTTAGTGCAGCATTGTTTAATAGTGCGGGCAAAAGCTGAGCCCTGGCAACATACAGATGTTTGTTTACATGGTGGCAGAGTGAGTCTGAAAAGTTCAATTACCTACCAAGAGATAAAAACTAAGGCAATCCACCAAATACTTAGACCCTATGTGCTGCCTGCCTGGGCCTCCTCTCCACATGACGGGACTACCTTGTGCAGCACAACAGCCCCTCCCTCAGCATAACCCCACCAGGGTGGCTGCATTCCCTGACCAGGGCTCCCTTGACACACCTTTTCTTGACCAGACCAGACCTGTGTGTCTAGGGATTAAACCCAAGGATACTTAACCATGGGGTGCTTAGTCTTAATAAGTTGCTGATTCTCCTGCCTCAGCCTCCCAAGCTGCTGGGATTACAGGCGTGGCCACTGTGCCCAGCTCTGATGGTTTTTGGAGCAGCCTTCCTAAGGTAGTGCCCAGCTCTGAGGGGGCCTCCTAGAGGAGCTCAGAGGAACTCCTCTAAGAGTATCTATCAGAAACAAAAGCTTGGTCTGGTCTGATCTCTTGCAGTCAGTCAAAACTCTCCCTGTAAAGGTGGTAGGCAAGTCATGGGTTGCAGCTAGGTGTGCTGGTGCATGCCTGGAATCCCAGTGGCTTAGGAGGCTGAGGCAGGAGGAGTGCAAATCCAAGGCCAGCCTCAACAACTTAGCAAAACCCTCTCTCAAAAATAAAAAGGCTTGGGGATGTGGCTCAGTGGTTGAGTGCCTCTGGGTTCAATCACTGGTATTAAAAAAAAAAAAAAAAAAAAGTCATGGGGTACAAACCAAGAGCACATGGCACATGAGGGTTCAGGGCCAGCTGTCTGTGTTTCCTGCCCCATTTCCTGTGGGGACACACCTGCGGGCCTGGGTGAACCTCTTCACCAATGCCATCTTGCTTTGCAGCTGGGCCAACTTGGTCTCCTGGTCCAGGGGGCTCTTGGCCTTGGCCTTGGATAGGCACTTGTAGGCCTCAGTCAGTGCCCCGTGGGCCTTCTCGTAGTTCTGGTACTCATCAATCTCCACCTGCATGAGGAGCTGTGTCAGGACCAGGGGCTCCCCAACCCTCCCTAAACCTGTGGGGATCCCGGGAGGATCTGTACCTGGGCACAGGCATCATAGAAGCCAGCTAGGAGGTCCAGGGCCCGCCCCTTTGTATAGAAGCTGATGATATTCTTCATGATCTCCGGCTCCTTCCGCCAGTCCAGGGACTGCAGGTAGTTGGCAGCCATGATGTAGATTTCCTTCTGCCTGGAGACGCCTGCAAAGAACACGATCTTCTCCGTGTCTCCAGACTTGAGCAGTGCTCTCATGGCCTAGGCAGAGTAAGACCAGGGTTCGGGTGATTGGGGCTGGCCTGAAAACGCTCTGGGCAGGCGGTTTCCGTTCGCTGCTAACCAGAGGATGAGCTTTGTGTTGGACGTGGGACAGGTAATAGGCCTTACATATCATGGTCCCCAAAGGACTCCTTCAAAGCCCTGGCCAGAAAAGCTCATCCCCTGCTCGGAAAAACCAGAGAATGGAGAACCATGCCAAAGGCACAGCAGTGGCCCAGCTGGCCTCACCTTCAGCTTGCTCCCGGCCTGTGTGTACTTCTTAGTGGCCAGGTGGTAGTTGCCCTGACGCATGCAGCAGTTGGCTATCTGCTCCAGCAGCTCACGCCGGGACTCCTCAGACAGGTCCTTAGAGTCCTTGGACACAGTCATCTTCTCAGCCATCTCTTCAGTGATGATCATATTCTGTTCTAGGCACAGCTGCAGAGCCTCATGATACTGTGAGAGCGCCAAAGAAATAAGGGGCTGTTACCTGGAGCTGCTGAGGAGGCCCGAGGGCCTGGGTGGCCCTCACATCTATCACTCTTAGAGGAAGCCAGGCCCTGTGACTCCACAGTGACCACTGTCTGCAGCTGAGGGATAAGAGGAAGGGACAAGGGTACTTCAAACACATCAACCTAAAGGATATAGGCTTACTCATGTTATTTTCTCTCATGCTATTAACATTCTAGAGCTTTCTGAAAATATGCTGTTTCATTGAAATATTTGATATGGGAGAAAAAGAAATAATTATTTTCTTTTTTGGTACTGGGGATTGAACCCAGGGGCACCTAACCACTGAGCCACACCCCCAGCCCTTCTTTATATTTTATTTAGAGACAGGGTCTCACTGAGTTGCTTGGGGCCTTACTAAGTTGATGAGGCTGGCTTTGAACTCATGATCCTACCTCCTCAATCCCCAGAGCTGCTGGGGTCTCAGGCATGTGCTACTGTGCCCAGCTATAATTTATTTTTTTCCTTGGTACTGGGGGCTGAACCCAGGGTTAGGGATAATTCTTTCTTCTTTTTTGGTACTGGGGACTGAACTTAGGGGCACTTAAGTGCTGAGCTAAGTCTCCGGCCATTTTTATTTTTGAGACTGTGTTACTAAGTTGCTGAGGTTAGTCTTGAATGATTCTCAGCCTCCCAAGTCCTATGCCCAGCTGGTTTTTGGGTTTTCTAAAACTCCCCCTGATCTGGATGCTTGTTCATGTACAAGACCCCAATCCTTTTAGATCTCATGTGGTATCTTTTATAATCTGGAAGCTTCAATTGCCTCTTATTAGTCTTATTTTCCAGATTTCACTGGTTATTTTGACTTGTCCAAGTTTTCGCTGTGAGGCTTGCAGAGTCAACTTCTGTAGTTAGGAAACCCTCTGGCCCCGCCTTGGGGCTGCAGCGCTTGCAGACTTCCTCAAGAAAGATCTCCACATGGATTCATCAGGTCTTTCTGACCAAGAAAATGGCA